ACAAGACCCCTCTACACTTGCCAGTTATACAAATCCCCAGGTTCTGGTTAAATGATTTGATTCAGAAAGAATGAAGCTTAAATCTTGCCAAAATCTAACTGGATATCTGGTTCTGGGTCATCTCTGTCTGCACTTATCCATCAGACTTCTCCAATAGCAGGAAGAGCTTAGACTGGGGAGCTGGAAGGGAAGAGGCTAAGCTAGATAAGTCAGAAGGAAAAAGATTAATATCGGATGATTTCACTTATATATGGAAAATAGAGAAACTGGATACAGGGTCAGGAAAAAGACAAAATTTGCAAGCTGGCCATACATATATCTGGAGGCAAACAGCAGAGAAGGAGAGGAAGAGGCATCAAAACAGAGGAGGGAAGAGCACTAGGGACTGTGGTGATGGATCATGGATGCTGTGGTGGTGGAGACTACACCTGAGGGGAGAAATTAAATACAGGCCCAAAATTAACAGTGATGTAAGAAATACATCTATTAAAAAAAAAAAAAAGACTTTTGGCAACTAATTTCCAAAACAGACCCTGTGATTTCATTGTCTATCAAAAGTGTTGATCAAAATCCCTCTCATGGAAAATGAGTAGACATATTCTTTTAATAAGGTACATATCCTAATGGAATAGGCTGTCTTGCAATACAGAGGGTGGATGACAAACTTTTCTGTAATGGGTCACATAGAGTTTTAAGGGTACCACGCCTGTAGACAACTTGGCAACTGCTTCCACGTGCTGTTGCAGTGCCAAAGCAGCCAGGAGTAGACATGGCTGTGTTTCAATGAGCCTGTATCTATGGACACTGATGTCTGAATTTCTTATAATCTTCATATGTTACAAAAAGATTCTTCTTGTGATTTCTTATTCCACCATGTTGAAATGTAAATGACCATCCGTACACAAATAGGGGCAGGTGAGATCTGGCTGACAAGCTCATTCCCTGACCTCTGCTATAGGATATAAACTTCAAAATAGATTTCAGAAAATATTCATCATCAAGTATTCAATCTTTCTCCTTGCCTCTGGCCATGAGCACAAAAACACTGATGGAAATAAGTGGGAATTGGTCACTCTAATCTCTCAATCCCAGGCTGCAAATCCACAAAGTTCCTTGGCTCATATTTAAAAATCTGATCTAGTTCTCATTCAGGCCCCTGACAACGTGGAAGGGATTTGCTTCTGTTCTTCATCCCTCCTGTCAAGGCAATGGCTCCCTACACAGTTTTTTGGCCATGTTTGGAGAATCTGCTGGTGTTCACTTATTCCATATCCCACAGAGGGGATCCTTTTTTGTACTTTCTTCTAATTCCTTTGCTTCTGTATATTTGATTGTTCTTTCCAATGGCTTTTGTTCTCCAAGTCTAATAATCCTGCACTTTCTTACTTATTCAGAAGAGAAACAAGAGGAGGCTGGTAGAAATGTCTACTTAACTGAAGAATAATCATGTTTAAATGGAAGTTTCTTTCTTAAAAATTACTTTTAACCAAAATTTGATAGTGTTAAATGTCAAAAAGTGGAAGAAATAAGCAGATACTAGTTATATGTGACATCTTAGAACCTATAAAATAGAGTATAATTATATCCACATTCTTATTATCATCCACAAAATGGGAATCTTTTTAAAGAAATAATTTTTCTTCACCTTTTTCCGGTGTTTAATTGCCTCAAATCCCATACGAGCCTGCAATTATACTACATTTTGAATATTATGAAAAAAGTGGTGGATTTTTATAGTTCCATTACTAATGTTCTACTCTCAATGAATTCCTTAAAGTTGACTTGATCTCCAATAATTGAGAGAGCAGTGTCATTGCTACATATTGTTAATGTCTATTTTATAAATATTCACTAGTTTTTATTCTTGGTAATTAAACAATGTGGTACAATTTGATGTAGCTTCTGGATTTAACTAAACAGTTCAAGAAATGAAAAGTAATATGTAAAGTTTTTTTAATGTTTTGGGTGTAGTTATGAATTTTACATATACACATGTATTTTCCCTCCATTTAATTCAACAGTCAGGTGCTATTGCTATTATTACCTGCATTTCACAGCTAGAAACACAAGAAAAACATTTAAAAAAAATTTGCCCAAGACTCTATAGTAAGTAAGCAAGTAACCTAATTTAAATTTGAACTTTAGGTATTGGGATGACCACATTTTTCATCACAAAGAACTGTTGGGTATTAAAAAAGAAATGACAGCAATGATCTCTTTTGATTTATAGAGAAGGATGAAATACTATCATTTTAATTTATGAATAATATATGTTTCATATAATGATAATTAATTACATAGAATACTCTGATTTACACATTTCCATTTATTCCTTTATTTTATTTATTTATTTTAGATTTTATTTATACAAGAACTGGGGTACAGGTCATAGGCAGGGTGAGAGAATTCACCAGAGACAGAGCGGGGAGCAGAACAGGCAGATGGACCGGACCTAAGACAGTGCTGAGGAGAGCAGTGAGCAATGCAAGAGAGGTCTGCTGTGCCATGTGGGTTTCTCCCTGACCAGCCTGGAATCAAACCCATGCTGCAGAGTCTGCAAACAGCTTCACAGTGAGGCGCTCAACCCACTGCACCACCGGGGGGGCCTCCATTTATTCCTAAAAACAACCCTTATCTTTCAATCTGCCAGGAAGATGTTTGCAGGTCCTAATACCCTGAAATAAATTTTTCACATGAAAATCTTAGTGAAATTTTAGGTTTATTCTAGGGGAGTGCACGTATAGAGATATATGAATATAAACTCCTCAAGTTACTAATCGATTTATTCTTTGATGCCAAACTGTGTAATGGGAATCTCCCAAGTATCACAACACAGGGCCAAGAGACAACTCCCCCCACCTGAAGCTGAAGTATGTGCTGCACTGTCCTGTAAGTTGGGTTCATCCCCACATATGCATGGTCCATAACAGGAACATATTAAGTGGTGCTGTGATCTGGACCTCATCCTGGACCAGTAACCTGAGGATTCTGAAAGGATAACTCATAAAACTAGAGCCATAGATATAATCTACAAGGCTTTCCATGAAAACCAGCATCAGGCTCATCATCATATACTCTACCTATAGACCAGAGAGAGAGATTTGAGAAAGATGAAAATTTAAATAGAAACCAGTCCAATAAATCCAGAAAATAAAAAAAAAAAATCATAGAAGGAAAAGAGAGCCAAGATCAGCAATTTTTCTAGGGCACAAGGACCATAGGTGAAGCCTTTGGTATGGAGACCTGGCAAGAGTCATGCATATCGTTGGAGTGCTATGCAAGAAATCCCAGGTCCAGAAATGCAAATAAGCCCTCTTACTTTCCTTTCAGTTTGTGAAATGAAAGTGTTTATTATTGTAAAATGATCTACTTTGTACTCACTGAATATTTCTGCTGGGAGAAAAAGATTAAAGAGGGTCAGGGATTACTAGCAAACATTTCCATTTTTAAGGCCATTTCAGTTAGTCATACAGGGCTGCCACCATATAAGACCAAACTTGGCAATTACTCTCTCAAGATAATTTATTTCAGGGCCTCCCCTGGTGGCGCAGGCCGCTGAGTGCAGGGCTGTGAAGCTGTCTGCAGCTTCTGCAGTGTCAGTTAGATCCCGGCAGGTGGGCGAGGGTCCCACATGGTGCACAGACCTCTCTTGTCATGCCCACTTCTCCCCTCAGCAGTGTATTTTGTCAGTCTGCTTGTTCTGTTCCCTGCTCTCTCTCTGGTGAATCCTCTTACCCTCCCGCGCCTCTGGCCTATACCCTGGTTCTTGTATAAATAAACAAATCTTTAAAAAAAAATAATTCCTTTCATGTTTGCTTGAGGCATTATTTCATTTCCTGGAAGTTCCTATAAGATTCAGAAATAGAGTATTATTCATTGTACCAAACATATAATGGGTCTTTATAATACAGTAAAATATAAACAATATTTTAGTATATCATCACTGTGAATGTTACATTAATCTCATATGCTAAAATTCACCGGCCTTATTCACAGAAATTCATGCAATTCAATATAGAATATTGAGTTCAATTCTTTCCTCTGTTTAGTGAGGTGAGCCCTATATACTGACTTCATTTTTGTTGATTTATTTCATCCTATTGTTTTCAATATGAGTTACTTTGTGTTTTGGGGCTTTATATGTACCTAGTTGGCCAGAAAAGTGAACAGCCAAAATAATAAACAGACCAAAAAAAAAATGAAAACAACAACAAAACCCTCTAATATTTAGAACAATTGCATAGGAACAACCTCCATATCAAAGACAAAAAGCTAACTACAATTCGTTTTTTAACTCCATAATATAGGTATAGCTTGAAATTTATTTGGCAAAAGTAGCTTTCCCAGTTCCCATGCAGTTCTGAGTGATCATATGAGTAGGTCTTCACAATAGTAAGTGAATATGTGACATATGTCACCTCTGGACATGGTAAGAAGCTCATGTTCCTTCTCAATGACGTCTTATTCCACATCCAAAGAATTGACGTGATGTATTGTTATATTCTATAGGATAAATGATCTGTGAGCCAGACGGAGCTAGTATTCTTGCTAGACCACACAGGAAAAACATGGTTCTATCAGAATTGTTTCTAAGAATCATTTTATAAGGAAGACATTTTTTATTCTTTTGAACTGTTGCATTTGGATTTATCACTATAATCTTAATCTTTATGACATACATACTCTCCACTATTGCCTACATATCATTAAGATTTCCAGAGATCTCTAATGTCTTTGTAACTCCCTATGAGCTTCTGTAACTTCACCCACTTTTCAATTGACTGCACATACTTTGTGGGTATTTCGATGTGTAATAGACTTCACTTGGGGAGGGGGTCAGATGGTCGTACATGCTGCACAAAATGAAAAACTGACTGGAATGACTATGACATTAACAATGCATGTAGATAAGTAGTGATTTTATCACTCCTTAACAGTAGAAATACATCCCCTTAAATTAGCCAATATCATTTGCTGTGCCCATGAACTTTCACTGACAGGTTTGATGAGACCGCACTTCCTGCCTTCGTTATTCAGACAGCGAAAGCTGTTCATAAAACAAGTGTTTTAGATGAAAATGAAGAGGTACTCCTGTCTCGGCCTACAGGTCGACCTCCTCAGCCTCCAGGATGGGTTGAGACCAGCCTGCAGGTGGGCCTCCTCAGCCTCCAGGCTGGGCTGGGGCCTCCCTGTAGGTCAACCACCTCAGCCTCCAGGCTAGGCTTGCAGTGGTCTGCAGGCCCACCTCCTGAGCCTCCAGGCTGGGGTGGGAACAGCATGCAGCTCGACCTCCTCAGCCTCCAGGCTAGTGTGGCCCTCTGAATGACACCTGTTTTTTTTTACACACTGTGCTGTGGCCAGCCTGTAAGGTTGAACTTCCGGGCCCCCATTTTGTTGTTGATCTTGGATGATTTCCAGTAACTCAGCCTCCAGGCTCCACTGTGGCCGGACTGCAGGTCGACCTCCTCAGCCTCCAGGCGGTGTGCAGTCTGAATGTCACCCTCTTTTTTTACACACTGCGCTGTGGCCGGCCTTTAAGGTCAAACTTCTGGGCCCCCATTTTGGTGTGGGTCTCGGCTGAATTCCAGCTCCTCAGACTCCATGCTCCGCTGTGGTCGGCATGCAGGTCAATCTCCTCAGCTCCCAGCCTGGGCTGGGGCTGGCCTGCAGGTCAACTGTTGTGCCAACGTGGACCAGTGCAGCCCCCAAGGACACAGACAACCGATGCAAGGGCACAAAGGAGTTTATTACGGGCTCGAGTCCGGGCCTTGACACGCACCGATGCAATGGCAGAGGTAGAGCCCCGAACAGAGGAAGCAGGGGTATCTTATAGGGTCACAAGTGGCGCAAATTTTGAAAGAAGCTGGCAATTACTCATTGGCTACTACAAAGGCATTTTGGCGCGCACAGTTATAGTTTCAAACTATCCATTTATGGATAGGACTGCCCTCATTGGCGGCTGGGGTGGTCTGCTTTTTCGTCACCAAGTGGAGTGAGGGTTGTGACTATTGAAACTATCTCCGGAATGGGGCTGTACAAGGACTAACATATCAAGGTGGAGGATATACAAAATGGCGAAACCTTGGCTAAGCTTGATTCCACACAACCTCTTCAGTCTCCAGGCTGGACTGGTGCAGGCCTGCAGTCGACCTCCTCAGCCTCCAGGCTGGGGTAGGAACGGCATGCGCGTTGCCCTCCTCAGCATTCTGGCTGAGGAGTGTCGGTCTGAATGTCACCCTGTTTTTTTTTTACACACTGGGCTGTAGCCGGCCTTTAAGGTCGAACTTCTGGGCCCCCAATTTGTTGTTGGTCTCAGATGATTTCCAATTCTTCAGCATCCAGGCTCAGCTGTGGCCAGGCTGCAGGTCAACCTCCTCAGCCCCAGGTTTGGCTGGGGCCGGCCTGCAGGTCGACCTCCTCAGCCCCCAGGCTGGGCAGGGGTCAGCCTGCAGGTCGACCTCCTCAGCCCCCAGGTTCCGCTCTGGTGGCCTATAAATCGACCTCCTCAGACCCAGGCTGGGTTGGAGCCAGACTGCAGGTTGACCTCCTCAGCCGCCAGGCTGGGCTGGGGCCGCCCTGCAGTTCGAACACCTCAGGCCTCCAGGCTCTCTGGGGCCAGCCTGCAGGTTGACCTCCTCAGCCTCCAGTCTGGACTTGGGCTGGCCTGCAGGTCGACCTCCTCAGACTCCATTCTGGGCTTGGGCAGCTCTGCAGGTCGACCTCCTCAGCCTCTAGGCTAGGTTGGGGCAGTCCTGCACATCTACCTCCTCAGCCTTCAGGCTGGGCTGGGGCCCTCCTGCAGGTTGACCTTCTCAGCCTCCAGGCTGGGCTGCGGCCAGCCTGCAGGTCTACATCCTCAGCCTCAAGGCTGGTGTGGCAGTCTGAATATCACCATGTTTTTTTACACACTGCGCTGTGGCCAACCTTTAAGGTCGAACTTCTGGGCCCCCATTTTGTTGTTGGTCTTGGATGATTCCAATTCTTCAGCCTCCAGACTCCGCTGAGGCCAGGCTGCAGGTCAACTTCCTCAGCCCCCAGACTGGGCTTGACCATTCCTGCATGTCTACCTCCTCAGCCTCCGGGCTAGGCTGGGACCGGCCTGCAGGTCAACCACCTCAGCCCCTAGGATGGGGCCAGTCTGCAGGCCCACCTCCTGAGCCTCCAGGCTGGGGTGGGAACAGCATGCAGGTCGACCTCCTCAGCCTCCAGGCTAGTGTGGCAATCTGAATGACACCCTGTTTTTTTTTTTTTTTACACACTGTGCTGTGGCCAGCCTGTAAGGTTGAACTTCTGGGCCTGATTTTGTTGTTAATCTTGGATGATTTCCAATTCCTCAGCCTCCAGGCTCTGTTGTGGCCAAGTTGCAGGTCAACTTCCTCAGCCCCCAGGCTGGACTGGGGACAGCTTGCAGGTCAACCTCCTCAGCCTCCAGGCTGAGGTGAGGCGGTCTGAATGTCACCCTTTTTTTTTACACACTGCACTGTAGCCAGCCTCTAAGGTCGAACTTCTGGGCCCCCATTTTGTTGTTGGTCTCGAATGATTTCCAGTAACTCAGCCTCCAGGCTCCACTGTGGCCAGCCTGCAGGTGGACCACCTCAGCCCCAGTCTCACTGAGTCGGCCTGTAGGTCGACCTCCTCAGCCTCCAGGCTGGGCTGGGGCCAGCCTGCACTTGGACCTCCTCAGCCTCCAAGCTGGGCTTGGGCCAGTCTGCAGGACGACTTCCACAGTCTCCCGGCTGGGCTGAGGCTGGCCTGCAGGTGGACCTCATCAGTCTTCAGGCTGGGCTGGGCGGCCTGCATGTCGACCTCCACAGCCTCGAGGGTGGGCTGGGGCCAGCCTGCAGCACGAACTCAACCTACTCAGGCCCTTGGCTGGTCTGGGTCCGGCCTACAGATCTATCTCCTCAGCCCCCAGGCTGGGCTGGGTCCGGCCTGCATGTCGACCTCCTCAGGCTCCAGGCTGGTCTGGGGCCAGACTGCAGGTCGACCTCCTCAGCCTCCAGGCTGGCCTGAGACCAGCCTTCAGGTCGATCTCCGCAGCCTCCTTGCTGGTCTGGGCCAGACTGCAGGTTGACCTCCTGATTACCCAGTATAAAGGCGGGACTGGACATGGTGCAGGTTTTCTGATCCCATGCAGACCGGGTAAAGGAGGAGTCAGAGTCCTTAGTGGCTTTTTGCAGGTCTTTTTATTGGGATTTACCCGGTACACAGCAGGTAAGGGTGCTGGGGGGGCCGGAGGGCTGGCAGTCTTCCCAGCCCCCAGCAAGTCTTCACTCTATCTGGGCTCCCTGGCCTTCTCTCAGCTTCTGCTTCTCTCTCGGCTTCTGCTGCTGCTTTCTCAGCTTCTGGAGTCCCTGTGATGCCGCCCTTCAAAGCACAGTCTTAGCGCAGGTGGACCCACTTCAGGTGCCCGCCATCAGGCATGCATTCAGGATCACAGGGTTCCCTCATCTATCCTGATGGAGGGAGGGCAGGAAAGCCTGATACCTTTTACCTTACCCTACAGTCCACTCCCTCAGGGTTTTCTGCCATATAGTCTACATATATATACAATTTTCTAAGCAAACAAACAATGCAGCCATGGTCCACAAAAGCAAATACATCACAATATAACAACAAATGCAACAGAACACAAATAAGTCCAGGCAGGGCCCCAAGATGATCCACCAAATCTGCTGCCAAATGCACTGCTCATATGAGGGAGGGGAACCACTCACGGCATCTACTATATCACACCAGGAGCCGTCAGGCTTCCTGGCCTTCTCTGGCTGTAGTCTCGACTACAAGCCACACACAGCATCCACCCCCAGGATGCACTAGCTCTGGGATTGGTGATTCTATTCTGTTGGGGGTAATCGCCAACCCTCAGGGTTTCTGTCTGCAGTCGCTCCAACACTCGGCCTTCACAGCCACCAGTGCGACTCTCAGACCCTGCACTCAAGCCAACCCACTGCACAAGCACATGGGTCGGGGATCCAAACTCTACAATTTGGCTTGGGCTCCACCCCAAGCCACGTTCCCCACCCATCCCCCAAGGATGGGTTCCTCAGCTCCTCACCCTCACTCGACAATGAGCAGGGCATCACCCACAGTTGATTTTACGAGACTCACAGGTCTTCAGCGTACTCAGGCTGCTTAACAGCCACTCAGGGCTTCTCAACTTAGCATCAGCACCAGCTTTTGCCTTCTCAGTTGGCTTTTCTCCTCCACCTAGATGCTGGGCATACACAGGCTGCTTTTGGCCATCAAGGCCCACTGGCCACCCCCAGATTCCCATCTCCTGGGGTTTACAAACAAAACTGTTCCATCCCCAGCATCCCAAAACGTATCAACCTGCAAGGGCCTCCACCTTCCGGAGGGATTGTCAGTCCAAGTTCATCAGTGTGAGTCCATCAGTCCAAGTCCACCAGTCGAAGTCCGTTGGCCTCTACTTACATCAGCACTGGCGAGCTCCGAATCGTGGCCCTGTCTTCCCGACGATTTTGCTGCCTCAGGGGTCGTTGGCTGGTCTTTTCGGGTGTCATTGGCTGGTCCTCTCGGGCGTCTCCTCCTCCAGGTGTGGTCTTGTTCTGTAGATCCTGGGTCACCATGACGCCTCCAGCATCGTCACAGGCAGTCTTTTACTCCTTAGTCCCTCCAGGTCTTTGGAGGGCTCCATACCCGTCTACATGATCATCTTGCCAACTTACGCCAATTGTAAAGGTGGGACTGGACACGGTGCAGGTTTTCTGATCCCATGCAGACCGGGTAAAGGAGGAGTCAGAGTCCTCAATGGCTTTTTGCAGGTCTTTTTATTGGGATTTACCCGGTACACAGCAGGTAAGGGTGCTGGGGGGCCAGGAGGCTGGCAGTCCTCCCAGCCCCCAGCAAGTCTTCACTCTATCTGGGCTCCCTGGCCTTCTCTCAGCTTCTGCTTCTCTCTCGGCTTCTCTTTCGGCTTCTGCTGCTGCTTTCTCGGCTTCTGGCGTCCCTGTGATGCTGCCCTTCAAAGCACAGTCTTAGCGCAGGTGTACCCACTTTAGGTGCCCGCCATCAGGCATGCATTCAGGATCACAGGGTTCCCTCATCTATCTTGATGGCGGGAGGGCAGAAAAGCCTGATACCTTTTACCTTACCCTACACCCAGGCTTGGCTGGGCCTGGCCTGCAGGT